CCTGCTTACTGCTTGATAAACAGAAGGTTGTGGAATAAGGAAACTTGCCCTGCCGGGAATTAAACCCAAGTGCCTCACTTGGGAGGTGAGTGCTCTAACCACTGAGCTTCTGGACTCCACGCTACAGGACTCCTCCTACTTTCTAGTTCACTGAAAAAGTATGTTTCATTTTTAAAAAATTGGTTCCTGAAACAATAATGCAATTTAAATGCCAGTTTTTCTACTTTTTTGCTCTTTCTCGTCTCTGTGTCCTGAAGGCACTTGGATTCCTTTCATCTTTCTGAAGCGTGCAACTCCATGGATGCACGACTCCCACTGAAACTTTGCTCTCTTAAGTGACAATATGTGAAACCTGACTGAGAGTGTTAGGTTTTTCAATCCCTGTCCTACTCTTGCCCAGTGCATGCCCTACATTCACAATTTTGCAAAATTGTCCCTCAATGGGGATCAGGAAGGGAAACTGGCTTGTTTTCTTCCCTCTAGCCTAGGATTGTTGAGACCAATTGCATTCCTTGACTGATAAGAATGCTGTTTACTATGTTGTCTTTTACCGACTGCAACTTCAAGGATGTTTGTTGTACAGTGTACGTCAGTGTACACAATAATTCAGTGTACTGGAGTTTACATTCAGAGGTGCGTGAGGAAGAATTTTTCTTGAAGCCAATCTTTTGCAGGAGAAACTGTTTGCCATTTTCATCTGCAACTGCAAGTAGCTCTTTCTATTTGGCTCTTTGGCTCGTATCCGTATGTCTGAAAGGTAGTGTGAGCTGTGTGCCACTGTTGTCCATTCTGTCTGCTGGCATACATCTTTCACCGACTGAGATTTCCAGGATGGAACTTGGCACATTCCCTCTGTATTTCTTCACATCCTGACCTCTGTTCATTTATTAGGGTGTAGATTGGCGGAGTGTGGTGGTAACAGTTTCTGAAGTAACCTTGTGAAACTGTTTCTCACAGCAGATGTTCTAGAAGTAACTGTTTTTGCAACTTGTTACACCGAAGGCCTGATTTCTTCATGAACTAAAGACACTAAAAGTTACATTTTGAACAGCAGGTTGTTTTGAGATTGTATGCATTTATACAAAAAGTCGTGATACCATTACAGTGTCTAATAAGTCTTAAAATAAATTAGGATTTTTTTTGGATAATAGGGAAACGGCAAAATAAGACTCTTTTAGTCAATCTGCATCAAAAAGCTGGGCAACGGATTTTCACCTAATGATCGCTGGTGAGTCATATTCACCTTCAATAACGCAGCTATACTTGATGTTTGCTTTGCACCAGTTTGTTTCGCACCAATCTTTTGGCTTCAGTTGATATTTTGAATGTAAGGATTATTGTTAAGGACATCTTCAAATTTTTTCAACCCTTAACTCAATTTAAAACCTGAGCCCAGTGAGGTTTTCGGCAGTTGTAGCATTTAAATAATGTTTGCTGAGAGCTACATAAGACCTCAAAAGATAAGAATCCTTACACTTGATATAACGCCTTTCACATTGTGAGGACATCTCAAAGTGCTTCTCAGGATGTACTATAAAGTGTAGTGACTGTGTGTTTTATACGCAAGCATGGCAGCCAATATGCGTACAATAATGTTCCACAAAAAGGTATGAATTGCCAAATTGAGAATGACAGGGACAAGACAATAATAATCCTTGCATTTGATAGGGTGCCTTGTCACATTGTTGAGCCATCTCAAATTACTTCATAGGAAATTGTGTAGTGACTGTGTGTTTTATGGGCAAAATGTGCTGTGTAACAAGATTATTTTTTTCCTTTTATAATATATTATATTCAAGTTTCACAGCTACTATTTAGATTTAACGGTACTCCTTTGTGCCAAATGGTAAAGTGTTTGTTTTTTAAGTGGTCACATTAAGGACCCTGGAGAGACTTGTATTTTGTCACTCTGCTGGTTGAACTGATGGGTTAGAATGACAACCTTTTACATGCGCAAAATGCTGTTTCATTTGGTGAGTGTGATTAACATCACCTTTCTCTGAATATTCACTCGCATCCTTTTGGTTTATTAGAGAGAGGTTGCCAAAGGCGACTCTTTCCATTTCCTTGAAGTAGAAACGAGACTTATGCTCTAAACACTCTGAGACACTACCCTGCGTGGAGGGCGCAATATAAGTGCAAGTTGTTGTTGTTGTGTTGTGTAAGGAACCATTATCGTTAGTGGTAGATCCTGTTCGATTGTTGTGATGTTAAGTGGTTGCATCTAATAATAATTCTTGCATTTGATATAGCGCTTTTCACATCTTCTAGACATCTTAAAGCGCTTCACAGACTATACTGTAAAGTGAATTGACTGTATATTTATGGGCGAACGCGGCAGCCAATTGCGCACAGCAGTGTCCCACGAACAGTCATGGATTGAAATGGCCAATTTTTTTTTTTTTTTTTGAGGGATTATTATCAGGCGTGTGGAGTAAGGAAACTTGCCCAAGGATTCACCCTGCCGGGAATTGAAGCCAGGTCTCTCACTTGCAAAGCGAGTGGTCTAACCACTGAGCTACAGGACTCCGCAGAAGTAATCTATTCTGCATCTCATGAGCAACATTTTTTGTTTAATCCTGAAGTAGGTGGTAAGTAGTTAATCTCGGATTGTGAGTTTACCTGTGGAGACCTAGTAGGTCTGAAATCTTGCAAGCACTGACTTCTGAATATTTTTGGGGGTCAGCTAGGTGTCTGACACTTGCAGAAACCCATCACCGTGCCTAAGAGTATCCAAACCAAGCTGAGATTTCCATGCATCCCACCTACACATGGAGATCCCAGAGAGAGATTGTTGGAATAGAATGCGCACTCCCTCCCTGGAGGATGCATCCTACTTTCCTAATTCTGGAAAGTATTAGGCGCAGGTTGGCAAGGGCCAAGGCCGCGGGTGTGCGTTGGGGTACTGCTGGAATCTAACCAGCTAACCTTCTGACTAATTGAGTTCCTTAGTGAAATAAGCAGGGGAAGATCTAGCTGGAAATCCACATTGAGTGCGTCATGTAAAGATGCCGAAATTCAGAACAGATGTGAAGCATGGGTGAAATTAAGATTGTTTTAACCTGATATGATCAAGGGAATTCCTTCTGGGGTGCAGAACGAGAATGTGCCGCTAAACCTACTTAGTACTGGCCCACAGACAGGAACGTTTAAGCAACAGATCAGTGGTGGTTAGACTGAGGCTGGTCTGTGGAACCAGTAACATGTGTTCATGCTCACTTTATTGTACTTCCACAGGCAGTGTGTGCAAAGCTCTCCTCAACCCCCATGAGAAGGAAATATAAATCCGTTCCTAACTGCTTGAAGAGTTGCATGACTTCAGCAGTATAAAAAGCACATGATTTTTTGGCGGTACATTCCACCTGATGATCACTTGCAGCTGTGTCCATGTTCAAACTCACACTGATGCAGCGTGAGTGTCGTTTTCCTTCCTGCTGCCTGCGACATTTACCTGGTAAAGAGACGATGCCTTCCTTGCTTTATTCCACACATTGATTCTTCTAAGTGCTGTGCTGGTGTTATTAACGATGGGTCGAGCTGGTGTTTGCTGCTGCCTTTGATCTGCATTAAGTTTCAGCCCTTTAGCCAGACCCCACAGAGAAGCAAATGGAGACAGGTCTCCTCTATTGCTGATTCCAGACTCTGTAGCACTGGAGCTTTTCTTTGCTCCCAAGGGTCAGATTGTGACAAAAGCCTCATTACTTTGTCTCCAAACTACAGTTGCTACACTACACAGGAAATCCCGTGAAGCACTTCGAGAGATTCCAAAGACGTGATAAGGTGCTATAACAAATGCAACGATTATTATTAGCTCTACTCCCAGCAGCATACAACTAAGGGAAGTTGCGTATCACTGTTGTGGGTTTTGTAGGTGAATGTAGCTGACTATAAAATATATAATAATATTCCTTGCATTTGATATAGCACCTTATCATCTCTTTGAGACATCTCAAAATGCTTCACAGAATATACTGTACTGAATTGATTGCATATTTTGTGGGCAAAATGCAGCAGCCAATTGCGCACAGCAGTGTCCCACAAACAGTCATGGATTGAGTGACCAATTTATTATCATTTTTTTNGAAGGAATTATTACCCCCAGAAAAGCGATCCCCAATCGACTGACAAGCGGGTTCCTACTTACTGCTAGGTAAACAGAGGCATGTGGAGTAAGGAAACTTGCCCATAAATTCGCCCTGGGCAGGAATTGAGCCCAGGTCTCTCGCTTGCAAGGTGAGTGCTCTAACCACTGAGTGACAGGACTCCACAAAATGAAGCGCTTTGGGATGTGCTCCTGATCTGAAAGGCACTATACCAAATGTAAGGATGTTTATTATATCAAATTTGTCTCAAGTTAATGTAGATTCGTGTTCGCTCAGATCATTGCCTTGCAAGAGTAGCAGAGGGTCAGCTTTTGGATGCAAGCAAACTTAATGCTCTGTCTCTCAATTTCACTCCCATCTATCGGACTAAGGGCAAATTGGCCAGGTCATTGTAGACTCCTATGTATTCTTCACCTTGACGAGCAACATTTACAAAACTAATTGTTAAAAAGCCCCACTCTGTGAAAAAGATGTGATCTTAGCTTGGTATTTACTATTTCGTGCCCCCCCCTTCCCCCCACAATGTTTGATAGTGTGAACTCCATAACCTGCTGAAGCATTGCACTATAGCAGATGCTTTTTTTCCACTGGAGTCTAGTGACCTTTGTCTGTCTTCTGGCCCTCAGCCTTATTTATGAGTCTTGCTGTGTTTTCAGACCAGCGCCTAATGGTGCAGCATTGCTGTCGGTCAGTAGCATGCCTGACCTTGGAACTATTAGTACAGAAAAAGAGAGTGGGAGGGAAAGGGGGAGGAGAAGAAGTAAAACTGCACTTGGCAGCTGCAGTAATAGTTTTTGAGATAAAAATATGCTTAGGAATTGATGAAATAGCTGGAATATTTCAGCTGCTACACAAGGTCAGCTGTTAGCATCCAGAACCAATGCCTTTTATGCTGCATCAGATGTCTTACACCCTTTTGGTTTTAAAGTAAAACAAAACCCTGCCATCAGGTTGAATAATGAGGAATAATGGGGCAATTAAGGATTTTCTTATATAAAATGCAATATAGTTAAAATGTTAATGTAGTAAACTGGAGGGTAATAAACTGTGACAACCCTCCCCTCGCAAACGAAAGATAACACCATAGAAGGGATGGGTAGCGCTTGATTTATCAGCAGCATTGGTTGGTATGTGGTTGAGAAAAATAGTGTATTAGTGTGTTATAGTGGGATGAAGAGGATGGGATGGGGGAAGAAAGATGACCGAAAATACAGTCAAAGAGGTAAGTCTTGAAGTGGGCTTTGAAAATGGGGAGAGAGGGGCGAGTCGGAGGGACTCTGCGATAGTACTATAGAGTGGGGCAAGAATGTCCGGGGACATGAAACAACATGCCAAATGATGCTGTCTTGAGTCTCTCGGCCAACTTACAATCCACTTCATGCCAAACTGTTAAGATTCTGTCTGCTTACAGATTCTCTCATCGGCATTGTGTTAAATAGTTAATAATAACAACAACTTGCACTTATATAGCGCCCTCCACACCAGCGGTGTCTCAGAGCGCTTAACAGTGGTGGAGCCCAAGGCCGAGCCTGGGGGAGGGGAAGGTGATGGTAGGATCGGTCAAAAATGAAGGTCTTCAGATGCGACCTGAAGATGGGGAAGGAGGGGGCGAGGTGATGAGGTTGAGGGAGGGAGTTCCTAAGTTTCGGGGTAGTGGCTGAAGGCACAGCCGCCAATGGTGGAGCGGAGGATTCGGGGTACACGGAGGAGGCCGGACCCAGTAGAGTGGAGGCAGTGGGTACTGCTGTGGGGAGAGAGGAGGTTAGAGAGTTAGAGGCGTATCAAGGAATGGAGGGATTTAAACACTAGAGTGAGGATCTGGAAGTCGATCTGCTCTGTGACAGCGAGCCAGTGGAGTTTGGCAAGGACTGGAGTAATCGGTAATTTAATATATAATTTATAAAGGTTTGCACTGCTGTGTATTTTGTTTAACATTGACTCTCCCATCAGCCTGTGTCACACAAGGTTGATGATCTGCGTAATTGGAAATGACATGCTGCGTTTGGTGGCCCAAAATAAATATCCTCTGTAGGTGCTCGTATGTTACAGACCACAATCAGGGCATGTGGTTGGCAGCCTTGCTGGATTTGATCTCCGGAGGCTGAAACAAGTTGCATTTGAAGGGAGCTTGTCCCAGTGTCCTGGCCAACAACCCCCCTCCCTACCCCGGTAGAATTGGTCATTCACTTCATTGCTGTTGGTTGGATGTTTCTGTACACAAGTTGGCTGCTGTGTTTGCTTACAAAATACATGGGCACTGCATTTTACAGTAAATCCCTTGAAGCGCTTTAAGAGATCCTTCTGGCATAAACGATGCTGTACCAAATGCAAGTAGGATTAGTAGTATTGTTCAAGCCAATATTCTTTTTTTTCTATAGAAAAAAATATTTGGCAGACTGCTAACCAGTTAGCATGAAACACACCTCATATAAAGGCAGTAGCTGTTGCTCCTGCATTGACTGGTGCAGCTTCTACCGCATGCCGTACTGTGCTAGACTATCTCACAGTTATGGTTCAGGCTGAGGCATGGAGAGTACCTGTGAGTTTGTGCCCTTGCAATGATTGCAATCGTGGGGGTGGCGAAGAGATGAACTATAGATATCACTGTACACAGCCATTGTTCTTTGTTATGCGCACATAGCTTTTTAAAAGGATAAGACTGTTGCATCACTCTTATGCAATACAACATCTGCGATCCTGTAAGCACAATACTTATAATATCTCAGCCCTCAGTCATACTGGAAGTGAATTTTCCAGATGGAATGAGGCAGATGAATGCAGGAAAAGAGGGTGGAGATTGATTGTTTGTGCAGAACATTGTACTGTGGCACTGTGAGGCAATAGCAACGCTTGTTTTCCTGCCGATAACATCAAAATGTCTCCAAGCGCTTCACAGGCAATTACTGATAAGCGTAATGATTTGTGTGTAGGTAGATGAGAGTAGCGGCCAATTATAGTGTTTCACTGCTAGCATCAAACAGTGCAGCTGCTTTTCAATAAAATATCTGTACAATACAGACCATGCTATCTGAGAGACGTCTGAGAACTGTAGATAGTGGTGCTATCTGGGTGCCATCAAAACTGTTACCTGAATGTCTCATTTGTACGTTTGTCATATTTTTGCACTGATGGCGAGTCTCTGGAGGCCTTCCTGTCTGCTGAGTCGACCAATAACGTACAACGAACAATCTCGCTGGTTCTGGCAAGACCCAACTCAGATCAGCTATTCACGTTGGAGTGATATTATTTCTTCATTCGAAGAAAAGCCATCTCTCTTGAGGTGACCAGTTGATCGCAGGCTTCCCCAATTCATTAACAAGTCTCAAGGCCTTTGGAAAAACATTCCAAAAGAAGGTTAAAAAGTCCCAGAGTTCTAAAATGTGGCACACTTATGGTCTGTATTCCTGGTCTATGGACTGCTAGAAGAGGAAGAGGTTTCAATAATCTTGTGGAGGAGAAGCAAATGCATCGTGGAATTGCTCTTTCTCCATGCCGTTTTGCTAAACCACGGGTTTCACTGTTGTTAAACATAAGAGCCCCAAAATTTCACTGAATCAGAACCTGTGAGACCATTTGTCTTTAAACTTAAGATTGTGTAGAATTGTAAGACAATTCTGAAACTTAGTCCTAATTTGGATCCTGTTTTCCCACCGTGGTTAATTTTCCACAATCCTGCACCACCTTTTTCAGCGAAAATGGTCATCCAGGTTAAGATGAGATGGAATTTCAGGCCGAAGATTAAACCAGATGTGTTGAGATATTTTCCCCAAATGGCTTAACAATCCAAAAGGCCAAGCAGGACAAACAGGAGGAGGTCAAAGGTAATTTGCTGGGTTGGTCTGTCTGTTATTTTTCTTTTCAGTGGTTTCGGTTTACCATATAATTTTTTTAAAAAAGTGCTGCAGGATAGGAGGAGTGGTGAGAACAAAGAAAGCTCAGCTCTTGAGAGGGCGAAGTGGCATCTGGAAGGAGTTTCTCAGTCACTCAGTGAGCTGGGGAACCCACCTTGTAAAGCAGGGCTGACGTTATGCATCCATGGTGGTCTCTGGAATGCGACGGATATTATCATGCTGCATGGCATGTGAAAATATCCAAAGTACAAAGGAGTTTTTCAGAGTGAAAGGAAACTTTAGGAGGATAGGATCTGTTGAAGATGACATCTGTTTAGTCGAAGAGCTCATGTGACTACTCTTTAGTCCCAGCTTGTAAGTTTCTGCTACAAGGTCCAGAACTAAGTATTGTGGCTCTTTCTGCTTGCTGAAAGGTTGTGCCTTCTGTTTTGGTAATTTAATATGTTGTAGATTGTTTGAAACAACTAATTGAATTGAAATGGTGTATTTCGGTGTGTTAGCAACAAGGGGTAAATGTCAGATTTTTCTGATTTTTTTTTCTTTTCTTTCATGTATATAATCCATATAATTAGCCCGAAGGTGAGTAAATCTCAGCATTCAATGATGTTTTCTCACCTGTTGTCACCTTCTCTCTCTCTCTCTCTCTTTCTTCTGCTCCAAACCATTGGTAGTTTCTTAAGGGGGTGGGGGGAATTTACATTGTTTCAGAGTTTTTTTTTCGGTTGGGGGAAGACAGTTCACTAACACACATGCTACACAGAAACCCATCACTATATTTAAAAGTATCCAAGCCAAATTACTGAGTTCCACATATCCATGGAAATTTACGCAGCATTGTGTCGCGATATATGAATGATAATAATAATAATCCTTGCATTTGATATAGTACCTTATCACATCTTCGAGACATCTCAAAGCGCTTCACAGAATATACTGTAAAGTGAATTGACTGTATTTTGTGGGCGAAGTACATCACCAGCTCTGCTCCAAGAAGACCCTACTTATCTTTATCTCCCCCTCTCCCTCCAAAGGATAGTCACAACTTGGTCATTTGACATCTGACAATTGCAAGTTTGAGCCCTCTCTTGGTAGATAGTGGTACCGTAACTGATTGGGAGCTTTGATGTAACCTCATTAATTACCAAGGATGTAAGTAACCTTAATCAATAGGCTTGTTTCTAAATGTTAATTCTAGTTGGCCAATTATTCCTTACCTTACAGTTTTTTTAAAACCTGGCTTAAAAACAATACAAGCCTCTTGGTAAGCAGCACAGCTCAGCCTGAAATGCATGAGAGCACCACACTCCTGCCCACAGCTCAGACACACCCCTACCCCTTGAGGGATGGCTCTATCAGTTGGAGGTACAGATCTTCAACAGCAGCTCTGTGTTCGCCCACATTTGCTACGCATTACAGTAAATCCTGTGAAGCACTTTTAAACATCCTCCTGACGTGAAAGCCTTTTTACCAGATGTATGTTTTTTTAAAAAAATTCAGTGATTCACCAAAGTTTCTTTCAATGTTTAAGATGATCCATTCCTCTTGCATACTGTTGGCCGTTCCAGTGTAATGTTAAACTCATCAGTTACGCATCCCCAACTGTGCTATGTTGGAGATCTGTAGGTATTCATCCATAACTGTTTGTAAATGCACTCAAATCGCAGCTCCAGAATTCTTTTATGTTTTCATGTCAATTTTGCCAAATTGTCTTGTTAACAGTCTTCAATGTTTTTCTTTTGTGGTTTATTTTCCTCCTTCCTCTATTAATTTCAGTGAATTTCCTTAGGCAGTTTTGCATAAGCACCATGAGAACATTTTTATTTTGACTGGCTTTTTTTAAAAAGAAAAATTAAGAAAAATTCTCTCCAGAAGCCTCATCTAATCCAAAACTGTTCTGCTGAAGTTCTCTCAAGTACAGACTTGCCCTCATCTCTTTCAGTTCTAGGTTTGAAATGTGTCGTGATCTTACCCTTAAGACCGTTGTCCTCAAATTTATGATTATTCAGAATTTTGGAAAGGCCCAAATTTGGAAGCTGATCATTTTAAGAATAAATTTCACAAATACAATAAACTCCTAATAACTGGGCCCTGGCTTGGCTTGTCACGACAACTCAAGTCATCATGCTGTCAATATTCCCAACTGCATTTATTTATGTACTTATACATATGCCTAACTCACCACTTTGGTTAACTCGTCAGTAAGCCTTTTTCCCATGGAGTGACGAGTTATCAGGCGCTTATTATGTTCTAAAATTCTGCACAAAATTTTCAAATTGACCCTGTGAAATTTTGGTCCCCTGCTCAATCTCCCCTTTTTTTATCCCACCATTGATGGCTGAATCTTCGGTGGTGGAGGGGGATGGTCATCACC